TCTTTGCTTTCTAGTTAGAGCCTATTCCTATCTGACCCTCCATCAGATTATATTGGAGGCAGTTGCCCATCTTATCTCCCCCATGATCTGCTGGTGGATTAGAACCACTTGCCTTTGGGTTTATAGCACAACTTTCACCTACTAGGCTACCAAAGCTCCCTTTAATAATACAATTTTCATTCTCTTGGCCTAGTGGTAAGACACTCTGCTGCAATCCCAAAGGCACAGGGTTCTAATACACCATCTGCACCATGTAACAAAGAAGGGCAATCTCTTCCCTTGTGATTAACTGCCTCTGAAAACCTCTGGAAGGTAAGCTATGGGTCAGTTCCCACACAACAACAAAGAAGTGCATTATATTGTGATATGGCATTTAAATAGCAGGCTGATAAAATTCCTTGGTTATTAGTGTAGCATGCTAAGTTTTCAATAGGAAGTTCTAATTAATATCTTTATATGTTTTCAGAATTGATCATTTTGTTGCCTACAACAGATAAATGAAAATTAATGAAACGTTTTCTGTGTTTAACAGATATAATTGGTGATTTCTGCTTACGTTTAATTTAATTCTTGTCATCTTCTCTGGATTTGAAGAAAAAATGCCCGGTGTCATACCTAGTGAAAATAATGGACTTTCGAAAGGTAGTCCCTCAAAGAAAAATCGACTCTCTTTGAAGTTTTTTCAAAAAAAGGAAACGAAGAGAGCCTTGGATTTCACAGAAGCTCAAGAAAATGAGGAGAAAGTTGCCGAATATAGTGGATCTGAAATGTATGTATCATATTGAAATATATTTCCGTACTTTGAAAAATCTCCACATCAGTGAAGCAGAGTACATGGGTTGACATATCAGACATTCTAAGCATCTGCTGTGTATGATAGTCGGGGAGGGGGAGATAGACACTATTTAGGCAAGTTTTGCACTATGTAGTAGGAACAGAAATAAAACCAGTGGTTCTTAGGGGGGATTAATTTATAGTATCAACTCATTTCATTCTGTTCAGCCAGTTAGACTTAGAAAATATATCTTGAATAAAATTAAATTTTTTATAGTTTAACATGATAAATGTACTGTAACACATTTGTGTAAAGGTAAATTAGCTGATTTTTTTTTACGACTTAAGAAAGACCTTAGGTTGTAAACTTGATATGTAAACATGTAATTATATTTAAAGTACCCTTAAAAAGAGGAAGTGTTTTTGATACAAATAAATTTTTCAGGAAAAAATAGAACAGTAAAAAATACTTAATTCCTTCAGTAGTTACTGTACTTGATGTCCACTTAATTCCATCAGTAGTTACTGTACTTGATGCTCCATTTCATAGAGATCCTATTTTTTTAAAAAGAATACATCCCTTGAACATTTTCCCAGGCACGTTATAAGGGGACTCTAGTGGCCATGTATGTGGTGAGCTGCACTGCTAACCTAAATGAGGTGCCATTGGCAGTTGGAATCCACCTGTAGCTGTTAGAAAATAACAAGAAGTCTCCTCTTGTGACATTTACAGCTTCCATAAACCCACTGGAGGGTCAGTTGTTAGTTCCAATCTGATGCCAGTGATTTTGAGGTTTTGTCATATACATAGTATTTACATAGACATATTCTGTGTGGAGAATATATAATAGAACCCTCTGAATAATTTCCTGATATATACTACTAATAATACTTTAGAAGTTTATGTGAGCATTTTTTTAAAAATCAAACATTCATGCTTATGAAGATTTTGAGATGCTGGTGTAGTAGCAGCAATAAAAAAATACAAAGGAGGGGGAAAATATAAGTAAGACCTGTTGTTTGTTAAAATGAACTAAAACTCATAAAAGCCCTCATGGCCATCAGAGTGGACTGACATATACAGCTGATCCTCCAGTGGGTTTTCAGAGGCTCTAAACTGCATAGGAGGAGACTGCCCATCTTTTTTTTTCTTTTTTCTTCTTTTTGTTTTGAATGCCCGTCTTCTTTGGAGCAGCTGATGGACCTGAACTGCCTGCCTGTGGGTCCGTAGCACAACTACTTTACTAGGCCATTAGAACTTCCAAAATGAAGTAATTAAAAATTTTTTTTTTTAAGTAATTAAAAATTTAAGCAGTGAATTTTGAGTGAGGAATGGCAATATGTAATTCTGTTTAAGACTCCTTTCATCATAATCTTTACTAACAGATGCTGGCTTTTGTGTACCGTCTCAGATAATGTCCTGTCACGTTATTCCTACATTTCTCTTCAAATTTTAAGAGCCTTTGGGTAATGGAAATGATTAACTCCCTCAACTGCTAATTTAAAGATTTGCGTTTTTAATTACTTCACAAAGGCCTGGAAGTCATTTTCTAAAATTTAGCTACTGAAAACCCTGTGGGACACACTTCTACTATAACACACAAGAGTTCCCATGAGTTTTGAATTGGCTTAATGGCAACTTGCCAGTCTATTGAAATTTTAACTGTTTTATTAATATATGACATTGACTTAATCATGGTGCCAGTTCACTTTTTCTATTTTGTAAAGTAAAATTTTCAAAAGTCTGCTGATCTGCTTCTAAAAATGCAACCCTTGAAAGCACTATATAGTCTTGACTCAGAGCTCTGAGTTGGAGTCTACTCAAAGCAACCAGTAAAATGTGATCAAAAGCTTGTTAATGGAGTAGTTTTGAAAACTTTTGAGCACATAATTGATGTTTTAAAAAATGCTCTTAAAACTCTTAATTGTATAGCAATGTTTCAGCCTCTCTGGCATTCTCTCTTAAAATATCACCTAAACCACTATACTTTCTAGTAACTTTTGGGTAAACACTAAATCTAGGGAAGAAATGGTACTATGTCTTTTTTTTTTTTTTTTTTCTCTTAATAGTGATCAGGTTGTTCCTGCTGCAGCACAGTCCTCACCTGTAAACTGTGAGAAGAGAGAAAACTTACTACCATTTGTGGGACTGAATAATCTTGGCAATACTTGTTATCTTAATAGTATACTTCAGGTAAATTGGCAATGTTTCTGTATACTACTATTAAGTATAAGATTTTTGTGAAATACTACTATACAGTTAATGTTTCTGAGAATTTAAGGTTATTTGAGGATTTTTATTATGTATAAGGGACCCTGGTTTATAACAGCTGGCTCTCCTCATGACAAAGGTGTGGTAGTCTGCTTCCCGAAAAGTTTTTGTAGCTTTAGAATCCCCATGGGGCAGTTTTACTCTGTTGCATAAAGTCATTGTGACAGTGGCTTTAGGTTAAATTAGGTTTGGAGTCTGTAGCTCATCGTGTGTATAAACCAGAATGGACTGAAATAATGATTTAAGCAAACAAATTTAGGTGTGAGAAAAAGCATGATAAGTAAAGGTAGAATAGCAAAACTGAATAGAATTCAGTTAGGTGAAAGATACCAAACTTTTACTTTTTCTGCCTGTATCCATATATGTTGTTGCACTAAAGGTATCTTAACCTTTGGAACACTCTGTGATGCCTGTGTAACTGTTGTTGATTGCCATCGAGTTGAGTACGACTCATAGTGACTCTATGAAAGGCCTAATGCCTTTCCATAACTATCTTTGTTTCTCCAAGTTCATAGAGTTTCCAGATGCATGAGGTTTAGGAAGTGCCACTCCTGCTTCCAAATCTGTTTTACAACTAGGAGCTCCACCAAACCCTGTCCACATTGGGGAAAGCATTATGGTATTTGATACCCCGTGGCACAAGGTTCAGCATCATAGCAAACCCAGATTATCTAAGTATAGAAAATTGATGAAGAGTTCAAAGTAGACTATGCCTCCAAATACAACAACACTAGTCTTAACTTAGCAGTGGTTAAGTGTCATCTAGTTGAATATAAGTCTCAGTAATATCTGCCTAGGCAGTAGGATGGTGGTGCTAGCCAACAATTTTGAGACATTTAAATCTCAGAATTTAATGTCCACTTAAAAGTGCTATACATAAAGCATATTAGTTTTTTTTAAAAATATTTTTAAGTATCTTGTTTATTAATATTTAGTCCGATATTTTTTTTTTTTTTTTGTAGGTACTGTATTTTTGTCCTGGTTTTAAATCTGGAGTGAAGCACTTATTTAATATTATTTCAAGGAAGAAAGAAACTCTGAAAGATGAAGCCAATCAAAAAGAGAAGGTAAGAATGGGAAATGTATAAAGTAAGCCATGGAAATTTCACTATTTTAGAAAATGAAAAAATTCTAGGTACTTGGGATTTGGGCAAGGAAATGATAAGATTATTTCTCTATTACAACTGAGTTTCTTAGAGTTTATGTTGTCAGAAAGATAAAATTATTCTTTTTTTTCCCTAATTATTCTTTTTAAGGTAGCTTACTGGATTATTCTCTTCTGTAGAGTTTTTACCAGTCCTCTAATATAAACCAAACTTATCATTTGTGTATAATCACAATTTGTAACATCTGTGTACAATCTGTTCTTTCATTTTTAAAGTATATTTAAAGAAATTTTAATTACAAAATCCATGTCATCGGCATAAAAAGTGTGTACGCTGCTTAATAGTTGTATACCATTGAGTCTGTATCGACCCATAGCTGACTCTCAGTTTTTCAGAGGTAGTAAGTAAATTGCACAGTAGGAGATTGCCCACCTTCTCCTGTGGAGCAGCTGGTTGGTTTAAACCATATACCTTTGCGTTGGTAGCACAGTTCCTTTACTACTAAGCCACCAGTTTAATTTACAAAAAGCTAATGTTGAGTTAAGCAAGCCAAGAAAGGGGGAATGCAATTGTTTCATAAATGAAGATGGTTTTCTGTGCTTCTTTCTTGACAGGGAAATTGTAAGGAAGATTCTTTGGCAAGTTACGAATTAATCTGCAGTTTACAGTCATTAATTATTTCAGTGGAACAGCTTCAGGCTAGTTTTCTCTTAAATCCAGAGAAATACATTGATGAACTTGCTACTCAGCCAAGGCGACTGCTTAACACTCTCAGGTATAACATGTAATTTTAGGATTTCAATTTATATGCTTATTTGTGTACTCTAGAGAGAGTTTTAAGGATTCTAAAGCGCAAAAAAGACTCCAGTGCTATAGGCGCACAGTCCTTTCTAGCTCAGAAGCTTTACAAACTGGGGATGTTTCTGAGAGCAAGTTTATATGGGACTGTCTGTATAGTATTTCTCTTTAATGGGACTTTGTGGGTAGAAGAGTATTGGGTTTAATAATGGCAGACTGCTCCCTATCTTGTAGTTGATGGGTTGTAATCTTCCCCACAATGATAATAAGAATTTTGTGTTGTTATGTACCAACATGGCTGACCTTCCAGCTGGTTTCAGAAGCTATAAATTGAACAGGACATTGCCCAATTTCTCCTGTGGAGCAACTGATGGATTCAGAATGGCTGCCTTTGGGTTGGCAGTTTAGCTCTTTGCCACTAGGCCACCACAGTTCTTTAGGATACCTGGTCAGAAGAGAACAATTGAGATTTCTCAAAAGATTTAAGTTCCAAATATTGTAATATCTGCTGCTTGTTATGCACCATTCCGAGTCCTAGCTGACCCTCCAGTGGGTTTTAAAAGGCAGGTAATTGCACAGAAGTGAGGACACTGCTTATCTTCTCCCACAGAGCAGCTGGTGCATTTGAACTTCATGCCTTTGGGTTGGCAGCACAACTCCTTACCACTAAGCCACCAGGGCTTCCTAAGATAGCTGCTTATAAGCGAACTATTGGTTAAAAAACTGTATAAAGCAGACATGTGCAAAAACATACTATTCAGTAACTCTTAAAAAGTCATCCAATAGTAGATGCAATAAACTGCTGTAACTTTTTTAGAGACAAGATGACAATGAAAAGTAGATCTGAGACTGGCTGTGCATTTTTAACTAGCCATCATCTTGTGCATGTTTGTCCTTCAGTTCTCTTTAAATATTGGTGCAAATACAGTAACTCATGGGGTCATTGTGAATCATACACGTGTTGCGTGTGTGTGTGTGTATATATTTTTATTTATATACACATAATGAATTTTGTTTAAAATCTGGTACATGGTAAACACGTTTGTAATAAGTTAACTATGTATTATGTATAGTAGCATTTAGAATATCAAAGTAGTTGTAATAATGAAAAGGAGTAAAATTTGCTTTTATTGTTAGTTACAGATTGATGCAGTTAAGTTTGAAATTGATAGCTGAATGTTTTAATTTTAAAAATGACTTGTTACCTTTAAGTGAATTAATTTCTATATAGAAAGAATTTATTATTTTATCTCAAAACTACAACATATAAAACATTTTTATTATAGGGAACTCAACCCTATGTATGAAGGATATCTACAGCATGATGCACAGGAAGTATTACAGTGTATTTTGGGGAACATTCAAGAAACATGCCAACTTCTAAAAAAAGAAGAAGTGAAAAATATGACAGAATTATCTACTGAGGTAGAAGAAAAACCTCATCAGAAAGAGGACAGTAATGATTCTAACATCATACAGATGGACAATATGAGGCATTGTGAAGAATATAAAGAAAAAATCCCAAAAGGGAATACAAAAAGAAAAAGTGAGACTGAATTTAGTAACATCAAGAAAAAAGCTAAGCTATCCAAAGAATACCAGTCAGTAGAAGACAACCAGAGACAAACTAGATCAAAAAGGAAAGCAACAAGTGATATGTTAGAGATTCCTGCTAAAATAAGTTCTAAGAACACTTGTGAAAATGAGAGTGCCAAGCCCTCACAAAAGAAATCAAGAGTTAAAATAAATTGGTTAAAGTCTGCAACTAAGCAACCTAGCATTCTTTCTAAATTCTGTAGTCTGGGGAAAATAGCAACAAACCAAGGATCCAAAGGACAATTTAAAGAAAGTGAAGATGATCTTGAAGAAGATGTGGAGAAGTGTGAAAATGATAACACTTTAAAGGTTAATGGTTGTGGACTTGATTCTCCGGGGAGTAATGTTAAGCCCATTAATGTAAATGAAGATAAGGCCATAAACAAAGGTCAGTGTTATTTGTTATTAGACACTGATGTGTAGAACCATTAGATGGGTATGCACAACATATGGGTATAATAATGATTTTTATTTGAAGAGAAAAATTTTAATATTGATTTTGACACGTTACAGTATTTTAACATAACTAGGGAAGGTGAGTATATTTTAGTTGAAAAATATTTTACCCCAAGAGTCTTTGTGTGAGTCAGTTAAGTGACTAGTTGGCACTTTGAATCCATCTACAGATGACTCAGAGGAAAGGCCTGACCTACTTTCAGAAGGTCATAGGCAGTGTATGGAGGACATTTTTGCTCTTTTGAAACTCATTGCTGTCAAGTTGGGAATGACTCATAGCTGTTTTCAGAGGCTGTAAATCACACAGGAGGGGGTTGACTCCTTTCTCCCAAAAAGCCTCTGGTGGAGACATATGTCTGGGTTTGAAGTGTAACTCCCTATACTCCTCTCCACCCTGGCTCTCTGAAAACACCTGGAGTCACTAAAAGTCGGAACCAATTGGTTGCCTTTAGTATCGGAGATAACTAAAGTTGTTAGCAATTTAGTGAAAGTTTTAGAGAACTTGGTTATACATACCTTAAGAGGGTCCTGCTGGTGACAGGAGGTTGGAAAGTCCAACTTGGCCTAAATTCTTTTTTAGGAAAAATATTTAGTGTAAAGACTAGCATAACAATCTTAAATTAGAAATCCACCTGGTTTTTTGTCCATACTGCAGATCTCAGGGGAAATGTTGTTCTGTACTGTTAAGTCAGAACTGACCCACAGCTGACTGACTCTCCAGGGTTTTCAGAGGCAGTAAGTCTCAAAAGAAGAGATTGCCCATCCTTTTGCAGAGCAGCTGGTGAATTTAAACTACATGCCTTCTGGTTACCACTAACTAGGCCACCAGAGGGAAAGTATACTACTAATTAATTTGGCTTTACCAAAAATAAATTCTTTCAGGGCTGTCTTTAGGAAAGAAGCTATAAAAACATAATTATGACTTCTTTTAGAGAAAAAAAAAGGATGCGTATATGTAATTTAAATTCTAAAGGAGTTTAAATGTTAGGAACACACATCTTTTAATGGTAGTTAAGCCAGTTGTACTGGACAATTGGATAATTCAGACTCATAGTAACTCCCTTGGTAATGAGTTTTCGGTAGCTGAATTTTTTTAAAGTAGGCCTAAAGATAAGGTCCTTTGTTTTGAGGTACCTCTGGATGGATTCTAACCACTTCAACCTTTCATAAGTAGCAGGTAAATTAAGTACCACCCATTACTCCATTTGTTGGGATAATGATTTTTCGTCTTTGTTCATGTAGAATTCTTAGCCCTCTTGTGCCAGAGCTCCAAATTCAAGTCCCAGTCACTGCACCTCACACATCATTAGAAGTTTGCCTACTGCTTTGGTGCTTAACAGGCTTCAGTGGAACTTTCAGACTAAGGCCTAGCAGGGTCCAAAACTCAGTCAAGGCTCATTGATCATAATAGCCCAATCCATAACATCTTTGGTTTATGTAGAATCATGGAGTGTTTAAATATATATTGTTCTAAGTTTGGAGCCAGCTCAGTGGCAGTGAGTAACATTAATCTAAGATAATGGAGGTGTATTTAAAAATACAAATGCTTTGGATGCTGAAAAGTTAGTCTGTATATATGTATATTTTTCCTATTTTCTTTTCAGGTGTTGAGCAAATTGGTTTTGATCTAGTAGAGAAATTATTTCAGGGTCAGCTGGTATTAAGGACTCGTTGCTTGGAATGTGAAAGTTTAACAGAAAGAAGAGAAAATTTTCAGGACATCAGTGTGCCAGTACAAGAAGATGAACCTTCCAAAGTAGAAGAGAGTTCTGAAAGTAAGCAGAGTCTTGTATAAATCATGGTGTTAGAATAATTTTCTTTTCTTCTTAAATTTAATAATTTATATTATTGAGGAGGAGAGAAGCTGACTTAATATCCTTGGTATAATGTAATACCGTCTCCCAATCATTTTAGTCTCTTTGCTTTTTTTGGTTGATTATTTTATATATATGTAAAAGACTTTTATATAACTTTAGTTATCCGTAATTTAGAGAACTATAGAGTCTGAAACCGGAAGGTATTAAAATGGAAGAATAAGCTGTTAATAGCTTTTATGAATCAAGATCTGTTAATAGCTATTGGGAAATTTTGATAATTTTTTTCCTAATGGTAATGATCATCAGTTTTCCCCCTTGATTTATTAGATGGCTTTATGATATTGTCTGCTGCTCTTCCACCTGCTCCAACAAAAAGGTTTCAGTGTTTTCAAGTCTTCTAAAGGGTTGTTTTTTTTTTAAGGAAATTTTTATGTAATCTATTCACCTGACATACTTTGGATATATGTAAGGAGAGACAGGTCTTTGGAGAGGGACATCATGCTGGGCAGAGTGGAGGGACAGCGCAGGAGGGGAAGACCCTCTATGAGGTGGATTGAT